TCATAAAAAAAAAAAAAAAAAAAAAAAAAAAAAAAAATCTTTTAGCCAGAATTCTTGCAATTTTCTCTATCTCATTCTTTGTGTTCATCTAGATCGAGCGTGTGCGTTGTTGTGTGATCATAACAGGGAAACAGTATTACATTGAGAGACCTTGGCCCCGAATAGAGGCAACGTCGAGCTGAATGACTTGGCCTGGTGTAGAGGCCCGTCGGTTGTGTCGCAGAAGATTGAACATTCATGCATAGGTAGCGTGTGTGGCCGAATAAGCTTGGATTCTGCAAAAGTGATGTTCGGTTGGCGAAGGAAAACCTCGCTTAAGTGAAGTCACAAAGTTAGGTAAAAAATGAATATGAGGCTTGAGTTTCCCACAAGGCTTGTCGTAAGTGTGTCAAGATTACGATGCCACACAGTTGAGAAAGTACAACCATGACACATGACACTAGCAGAGCTAAAGGAACTCAAGACATAGCTACAACAATTGCTGGATAAAGGCTTTATCCGTCATATTTTATCTTCGCGGGGAGCACCAGTGATGTTCGTAAAAAAGAAGGATGGACCAGTGCATTTATGCATCGATTATAGGGAGTTTAATAAGAGGACAATGAAGACAAGTATCCCCGTCCACGCATAGAGGATTTATTTGATCAACTTAGGGTATAAATGGTGTTCTCGAAGATAGACCTATGATTAGGTTATCATCATATCAAGATTAAAGAAGAGAATGTGTCGAAGACAACTTTCAGAAAGAGATATGGCCACTATGTGTTTGTTGTCATGTCATTTGGACTTCCTACCACCCCGGTTGTGTTCATTCATATGGACCAAGGCTTGCAAGGTAAGTTTCCAAGATCGGAAGGACAGGTTAGTGTTAGCGCTAATACTCAAGATGTCAGACTAAACGAGAAATTATGTGATTGTTAGGTTATGGAGTCTGATGCTTATTTATAGCTTAATCAACTGTTATACATAGTAGTAAACCTATATGATAGATAGTTATATATATTAGATTGTTATATTTGGTAAAACTATATATAGTAAACTAAACCATATATATATTCGGCAGAGCTTTGAAAATGTATTTTCTGTATTCTCTTATTCTACATACCTCAAGTCATCAATACAAAACCTTTAGCCAATATTCTTTTTGTATTTTCTCTCTTGTTCTTTGTGTTCATCTAGATCGAGTGTGTGTTGTTGTGCAATTCTAACAACTGGTATTAGAGCAAGGCGAAATTCAACACGATCTGTGAAGATGGAAAGTTTAAAGATTGGAATTGAGAAGTTTGATGGATCCGATTTCGGATTTGGTTTCTGGAAGATGCAGATTGAATATTATCTGTACCAGAAAGATCTTCACGAACCCCTGTTGGGGGTGATGCCGGATACCATGACCACAGAGCAGTGGAAGCTCAAGGATCGACAAGCTTTAGGGCTGATACGGTTGATGCTATCTAGAAATGTGGCGTTCAACATCATCAAGGAGAAGACAACGTCATCTGTTGAAGGCGCTGTCGAATATGTACGAAAAATCGTTGGTTATGAACAATGTGTATTTGATGCGAAGATTGTTGAATCTATAGATGTCTTAAGGTGGATCTGTTTTATATGTCATCTTTACCCGAATCATGGGATACTATTGTTGCCACAATCAGCAATTTTCGAAGATTTGATAAACTGAAGTTTGATGAAATTTGAGATGTAGTTCTCAGTGAAAGTATTCACAAACGAGAAATTGAGAATTGATCTGGTAGTGCTCTCAATGTTGACCAACGGGGAAGAAGTAAACCGAAGGGCCCAAACAAAGGGCGATCAAAATAAAAAAATCGAGAAAAATCTCCAAATAGACCAAAAGTAACGTGTTGGAATTGTGGAGACTAAAGAGGAAATAGAATCACAAATTTGGAGATGATGATTCTATAAATTCAGCCGAAGATATTGGAGATGCTCTAATCCTCAAGCTAGATAGTCCAATTGAATCCTAGATTTTGGATTCAGGTTCATCTTTTCATTTGTTTTCAAATAAAGAGTTTTTCTAGAATTTCAAGTCTGGAGATTTTGAGAGGTGTATCTTGCCAACAACAAAGATTTGGAGATTAAAGGAAAAGGGGATGTCAGCATAATAACTCCGACAGAAAATCAGTGGACATTAAAGGTTGACAGATATATTATTGGTCTCAAGAAGAACATGATCTCTATTGGTCAGTTGGACAACATAGGTTATGCAACAGAGTGAGGGAAGAGTTCGTGGAAGATTATAAAGGGTGCTATGGTGGTAGCACGTTGCACAAAATCTAGAACATTATACAACACTGCAGCTGTATGAACATAGTTGTTGTTGCTGAGAGTGCTTCAAATTCAAGTATATGGCACCATAGACTTGGATATATGAGCGTGAAAGGAATGAAGATGCTGGCTGCAAAAAAAGTTTTAGAATGTCTGAAATCTATTGATATGGGGTCGTTGTGAGAACTGCGTTATGAGCAAGCAGAAACGAGTTAGCTTCATAAGGACAGCCAGAGAATTGAAGAAAGTGTGATTGGAAATGATTCATACAAATGTTTGGGGACCATCTCCAGTTCCATCACTTGGTGGATCAAAGTTCTATGTCACCTTCATCGATGATTTCAGCAGTAAGGTGTGAATTTATTTCCTGAAACATAAGTCCAATGTGTTTGCCACCTTCAAGAAGTGGAAAGCTGAAAGTGAAAATCAAACCGGCTTGAAGATCAAATGCCTGAGGTCTGACAATGGAGGGGAGTACGACAAGTCAGAATTCAAAACATTTTGTGCAGTCGAGGAAATTAGATTAACAAGAACAGTTCCCGGTAAAGCAAGACAAAATGATGTTGCAAAAAAGATGAACAGAACATTGAATGAGTGAGCAGAGTGTGAAGATTCATTCTGGATTGGCAGAGACATTTTGGGCTAATGTTGTAAATACAGCAGTCTATTTGATTAATAGAGGGTCGTTAGTACCCTTGGAGTTCAAGTTGTCAGACGAAGTATGGACAAGAAAAGAACTCAAGTACTCTCACTTGAGAACTCTTGGTTGTATTGCGTATGTTCGTGTTGATCTAGAGAAGAGTGACAAACTTAACGTTGAGGGTGTGGAGTGCTACTTCATAAGCTATGGTTCTAAGACGTTTGAGTACAGATTTTGGGATGACAAGAACAGAAAAGGTTTTGGGATAACATATTATAGATTTAATTAAAAATGTTATAAAATGTTTCCAAGCAACATATATAAGTTATGCTTACATACTCTATCATAACGTTCATTATAGCTATAAAAATTGTTATAAAAATTTCTAAACTATTAATAACGTCGATGGTCATGACATTCTACAAAACTATAAAAGAACTTTTTTTTTTTCTTTTTCCCTCTATATGATCATTGTTCAAGAAGAATTAAAAGTGTTTGGTTTTAATGTAGTTAACATGAAGTTATGCATTCACGTGGTTGTCTGCTTTGACACATTATGTATCGCCGTTAGTCTCACAATTTTAAAATGTGTTTATTAGGGAGAGTTTTTCACAACCTTACAAGGAATGCTTCGTTACCCTCTCCAATCAATGTGAGATCTCACAATCAACCTCGATTTAGGGCTCAACATCCTCTCTGGCACATCGCCTGGAGAATGCTTCGCTTCACGATCTTAAAACTCGTCTACTAGGAAGAGATTTCCACACCCTTATAAGGAATGATTCGTTCCCTCAGCGTCCTCGCTGGCACACTGCCCCGTATCTCTGACTTTGATATCTTTGTAACAGCTCAAGCTCACCACTAAAAAATATTGTCCACTTTGGCCGGTTACATATTGTCATCAGTCACATGATTTTAAAATGTGTCTATTAGAGAGAGGTTTCCACACCCTTACAAGGAAAGTTTTGTTCCCTTCTCTAACCAATATGGGATCCCACAAGTATACACCCGAGTAAAGGAAAACGCACATGAATCAACCAAGACTATATTCGAATGAGAGTGATCTTGATGATATAAAATTGCTTAAAAACGATTTTAAAAAGTCGGGTAGTTACACAAAAATAAGTATACTTAGGATATTGAATTTGCAAACTCAGGTTTGTCTGAGATAGTCGTTCATAATATTTATAAGCATAAACATCATGTAAACTGGTACAATATGGTGAGAAATCATAAGGATGCTTCAATATCAATAGATTTCGACTCTAATCATTAGCCACTAATGATCGCACTTTTCATCATTGTTTAGTCCATAACAATCATTTGAATAACTCATTAATGCTTAAATCTCATGATTTTATTACATTTTACCTATAAACTCAAAGCAAGCACCTTTTTGTGATACCTATTAGAACATCTAGCCGTTAGTCATGTGTCTGAAAATGACAAGCCCCTTTTGTTCATTATTACCCAATTGCGTGCCACCAAATTTCTTGGAATTAATTCCATTTTTATCATACAAATTTTTTAATCAATTTTATGTGGATCATATTTTTTTCCCCCCTTAATTTAACCTACATTTACATATCTCATTCCTTCATACTATATATAGTGAAAAGTGAATCAATACAATTATTTGAAATATTGTCCATATTAACCCTAGAATGCGATATGTTTTTGTGATTAATTTGGCATAATAAAAAGGTTTTAGGGGAGATTGACAAAACCCGATGCAGACTGACACATAAACACCGAAAAGAGCAGCTCAAGCCCACCGCTAGCAGATATTACTCTCTTTGGGTTTTTCCTTTCGGGCTTCCTCTCGAGGCTTTAAAACGCACTTGCTAGGTAAAGGTTTCCACACCCTTATATAGGGTGTTTCGTTTTCCTCTCCAACCAATGTGGATATCACAACAATTATGGAGTATTCTGAGATCAAGCTATATCAGACTCTTGAAATTGTGTAATAGAGATGTCTTACTCACTTAGTGCTAGATCATGTATGAATTGACGTTGAAAACTGTAACAATCCAAGTCCACTGCTAATAAATATTGTCCGCTTTGGCCCGTTACGTATTGTCATCAGCCTCATAGTTTTAAAATGCATCTACTAGGGAGAGGTTTCCACACCGTTATAAGAAATGTTTTGGGGAATATTGTTCGTTTTGGCCCGTTACGTATCGTCATCAGCCTCAAGGTCTTAAAACCCATCTACTACGGAGATGTTTCCATACCCTTATAAGGAATGCTTCGTTCCTCCCCCCAACCGATATGAGATCTCACAATTCACTACCCTTGGGTGCCCAGCATCCTCGCTCCCAGATTGCCCAATGTCTGGCTCTAATACCAGTTGTAACAATTCAAGTCCACCACTAGCAGATATATCCATTTTAGCCTGTTACGTATCAATATCAGCCTCACGATTTTAAAACGTGTCTGCTAGGGCAAGTTTTCACACCCTTATAAGAAGTGATTCATTTCCTCTCTAACTGATTCGCTAGCAAAAAGTAGCATCTAAATAAAACGGGTTCATATCAACTTTAGCCCATGAATTTGGCAACAAGTTGAAAGGAAGGACAAATGTTGAAGTGAATAGATAGGGTTTTAGGGAAGAGAGAGATAGCATGTGTGAGTTTGATGGCAACATATCAAAATGAGCTTTTTGTGTATTCAAAACATATGAAGCTTTTAATGGAACATGGCCACTCACTTCCAATGGGACCTTTAGCTTTTAATGAAAGAGGGCCACCATTTTACTCCTGCCCTTATCCCTTTGACCACAAAATTACTTCTTAATAAAAATACCCTCAAATTTCCTACTTTTAAATTTTTAAAAAAGTTAATAATATTTTCAAACTAAAAAATAAACAAAAACATCCTTATTCAAAACATAGTTGGATGTGTAGTATTCCACGACTCACACATGCGAGCGTGGGCCTACCAGGCGGACTCGCACATCTATTGGGCTTGCTAGTCGGGCTAGCTCCTCTAGGCTATAGCCAGACACCCGAAAGTACAATGGTTGTCGTGCACCATGCAAGCATGATGGACATTTCAATCTCACAGTGTACGTGTCCTTACTCATCATTTCAATCTCATAGTTACGAAAGACTTCAAAGAATTGAAAGTCACTACCTATACCAACAAGGTACACCTTCCTTTTTGATTATTCAATGTAAGAACTACCTGGAAGAACTTGTGATGGTATGTGGAGATAGTCTTCCCTCTTAGAAGCAAGGAGACTCATATTGGTGTGTGTGGATAGTCCTCACTCTTAGAAATGAGGAGTAAGTAATATAACCATGCCATAGGGGGAGGCAAGAGCTATTAGGTGCCAAATTGTTATATAAATCCTAGGCACAAGTTGTCATAAAAAAGCTGTAATAGCTTAGTTGATTAGAGCGTGTGGCTCTTGACCACAAGGTCAGAAGTTTGACCCCTCTTTCTGCGATGTTACTACTTTCCTATTTCCTATTCACCACAAGACGGCCTCGCAGTCGAACGTGTATCATGTCCGTGCCGATAGTAGAATCACGTACTTGGTTGGTCTAAATCGAAACTCTACTACTACGACCCCTAAATCGAAACTCTACTACTACGACCCCTTGATATTAGTTTTACGTTGCTCTCTGGCTCCAAGAATCTCAATTAGCTTTTAAAGAGCTAAAACTAGTGGAAAAGGGGTCCGAGCGTGTCAGACCCAAGTCGGATCAGCCAAAAGACTAGCATGGAAACGTCTATTCTTTGACGAGTTTCAAACTATTTAAGTGGAATAAAAGAAAGTAATGGACCTTCTTTTACCGCGGAGTTTAACTCTCCACTTCTCAACCTTTTTTTTTTATTACTTGAGGTTACTTGGTGCGTATTTACTCAACATTTTTCAACTTTTTATTAGAGCAAGGACCATCCAAAATGACCCGAAACTAGTGGAAAAGGGGTCCGAGCGTGTCAGACCCAAGTCGGATCAGCCAAAAGACTAGCCTGGAAACGTCTATTCTTTGATGAGTTTCAAACTATTTAAGTGGAATAAAAGAAAGTAATGGACCTTCTTTTACCGCGGAGTCTAACTCTCCACTTCTCAACCTTTTTTTTTATTACTTGAGGTTACTTGGTGCGTATTTACTCAACATTTTTCAACTTTTTATTAGAGCAAGGACCATCCAAAATGACCCGACACCGATTGCTACATAGGCCATGCCTAAGCTAATTCTATCAAACTTTTAAAACATGCACAACAATAATTCATAGAACAAAATTTGACAATAATTTAAGCTTGATTACGATTATAAGAAGAAAAAAAGGAAATTCAATTAATCCCACTATAAACAACAACAATTAATTATCATACAAATTCTAGTGCTCTTTAGCACATGTATTGCAAAGTTGCTTGCTTTTTGTGCCAAACTTTTACCCCTTTTCAACTATGTAATGGATATCATATGCTTATTGAAGATTGCAACCCTTCTGTGCAACTACTTTCTTCTTCTTCTCCTTCTTCTTCCTCTTGATTCCCCATGATTTGATTGACCTGAAATGGTGGCGGCCATTGTTGCTCTGGCTCAACCATCAATGGCTCCATTTGGCTATTGATATCAAAGCTCATGCCTTTTTCCTTCTCTTTATAGATAGCATCCAATTGGTGATAGTAAGGACATGTCTTGGCATCTTCTGGCCTCTTCTTGTTGCTATCTTTCACCTTTTTGAAGTATTTGTTTATGTTCTCCCATTTCTCTTTGCATCTCTTTGAGCTTCTATTGTATCCAAACCCTCTCATGGCTGTTGATATCTCTTCCCACACTAACCCTTTTGCCCCATTCTCTTCATACTTCATTTCCATTCTTGTTCTAACCCTTATCAATGCTTCAATTTCTTCCTTTGGCCATCTCGACGGCCTTATCTCCCCGTCTTGAGGACGAGTCGGTGGCGGCGGTGGTGGCGGTGGCGGAGATGGGAATGGAGATATCTTCTGTAACAATGCAACGACCGCGGCGTCTTTCGCGGCGGCCATCGACATCTCTTGAACTAAAACTTCATGTTCTTGATTAACCCTTTTCATTTCTTTGATTCTCCATGCTTCATCTCTTAATTTTCTTTGATTCTCTATTCTCTCCAAGGCTTCTAAGAATTTTAATTGAAGCCCTTCTTGCTTCTCTATTACCTCCTTTGTTAACCTCAGGAAGAAATCACTCCATTTTCTCTTCTTCCTCCTCCTCCTACTTCGGAACGGATCTTCCTCTGATGCGGTTGATGACGACGTCGAGCTCGAAAACATCACGTTAACCGCCATGTTTGGGAAATTGGAAAGAGGGTTTGAGGGTTTTGGTGGTAATGAATTGTTCATCGTCGATATAATAGTATCGGTGGTTATTTTCCCTGGTTGATCGTAATGCGACGGTGTCGCCGCCACTTGCCGGTGGTGAGATTGAAATGAAATGTGATTAAAAGCCTCCAATTCATCAGAAAACCTATAAATCTTTTTGGTATTATTGGATTTCCCACTTCGAGCTTCTTTGGTTCTCTTGTGATACTTATAAACATTCTCAAATTTCTCTTTGCATTTCTTTGGAGTTCTATTGAATCCAAGCTCCCTTAGCTTCCTGAAATCTCAACCAATTCAAAGATCTAAAGAAGAGAGAGAAAAAGAGAGATAAAGTTCTAAGCTTTTGCATTAGAAGAGAGAGAAAAACAGACAAACTCATGTTAGAACATGCCAATTAAGATCAAATTGATTAAATTTTTCAAATTTGATATGAACTTGCAGAGAAAAAGAATATGAATTGAGAAAAAACCTTGAAACTTCATCCCATAATGGAGCTTTATGAGTAGCATCTCTAAAAGCTACGCCCATATCGGATCTTATCTTCAACAAAGCCAAAGTCTCTTGTCTAGGCCATCGGTTCCCACCAAAAGACAACCCCTTTTCTTCTTCACCGGAATTCGATCCTCCGCCACCACCGCCACCGCTAACTTCTTCGTGGGTCTCCACCGCCTCGGCCGCCGCCGCCACCACCGCCTCGCCGGAGTCCACTTCCATGGGTGCCTCTAGTTATTGGATGAATGTGAGGGAGTTTTATACATAGGGTGATTTTATATATATATATATATATAATTAAATTTTTTTAATCCTTGGTGGGATATGCCTGTCATGATCAATGGCCCCCCTCCCTTTTTTTGTAAAAATAAAATTTAATATTTTATAAAAAAAAAAAATTCAAAGTATTTTATTATTTATTTTCTTTAATTTATATGCTTAATTAAGTTATAGAATCTTAAGTCTTCTTTTCCCTTTTATGGGGAGGGTTTGCACAAACCCAATCATTAGACCCACTTGGCTTTCAAGCTTTCCTTAAAATATATATATATAGTTTATTCATTTCCTATTTAAACCTTATTTTAGTCGATGATGTGCGTGTATATCGGTTGGGTTGAGTTGAGTTAGATTAGAAAAATCTTTTGGACCAACTCAAAATTTCGAGTTGATTGGGTTGGTGACTTGAGTAACTCGAATAGTATTCACAACCTGACCCGAACCAACCCAACCCAATTTCGAGTTGGTTGGATTGGTGACTTGAGTAAGTTGAATAGTGCTCACAACCTGACTCGTACCAACTCAACTCAATTTTGGGTTGATTAGGTTGGTGACTTGAGTAACTCGAATAGTGTTCACTACCTGACCCGAACCAACCCAACCCAATTTCGGGCTGATTGGGTTGGTGACTTGAGTAACTTGAATAGTGTTTACAACCTGACCTAAACCAACCCAACTCAATTTCGAGTTGGTTGGATTGGTGACTTGAGTAACTCTAATAGTGTTCGCAACCTAACCCAACTTTCTATTTTCAAGGTTGGGTTGGATTGAGTTGTCAATTTTTTTTTTTTTTAATTATTTAAAAAGTTCTAGATAATATAGGTTACATTAATAACTAAAATTTCATAAAACTCTAATATCAAACATTCACAAGATATAACACATCACCTACGACCGTTACAAACGTCAAACAAATATTCTTAATCTTCATAATAATCTTAAAAGTAGACTAGTTGGTCAAAAAAATGATGACCCACATATTTATCCAAACAAAAATTAAACCCAACACAACCCGGAGAAAAAAATTCTAACTCAACCCAACTTTTATGGTTTAAATTGAGTAGTCGAGATTGATCGAGTTCTTGAGTCACTTAAACACCCATATCAAATCTTTCCTCTTATAAGATATCCATCGAACCATTGTAACTGTTTAATTAAGAAACGTGTTAGATTTTCATATTAATATCGAGTAATTAATTAATTAATTTTTTTTTTTTTAAAAAAAGGAAAAAATTAGTTGGAAATTGAAAGTGGTATGGGATAAGAAAACAAGTTGGAGCATTGTAGGTCAGCTTTGCTTTATGGAGGTGGGTTTTGGATACCATTGGGTATGTTTGGCAACACTTGAACCCAAATGACCAAATTACCCCTCACTTTTTGTTTTTTTTATCACTTTCATCCTTTCCCTACTTTTTCACTGCCCTCCAATATTCAAAGCTTCCAATCATTTCCATCCTCCTTCCAAAAATGCCCTTCATTAATTTTTACTAATATATATTAAATAAATTACATTTTAAAATTATAATTTAAAGAAATAATAAATTTAATTTAATTTTTTTTCATCTATTTATGAAATTAAATTTAAATAGCGACCAATTTAGGTAAGATTGTGACCTACCATAATAATGGCCATTGGCAATTAATTTCTCCTTTTTTAGTTTTAGTTAATTAAATGTGTATTGCATGACTTTTCATCACTTTATTTGTTTTAATTACGAGGTTTTTTTTTTCATAAAAGTTCAAATTAAATTATGTTCGAACTAATTCTATGTTAGATGAACTTTTGAAAACTTTCTTAGAATGTATGTGAGTGATGACAAAACATTCTGAAATAACCGGTGTTAATCTGTGAAGATAGTGTTCACTCTTAGACGTGATGAGTAAATAACGTGACTATGTTGCAGACAATACAAGGGAATGTTGGAGCACATAGGTACTAAATTCAGATTCTGAACCCTGATCCAAATTCTAGACATGGGTCGTTACAAATAGTGTTAGAGCGATACCTCCTTCAATAAAATATGGTTTGGGGAAGAACCAAAGCGGAAGCTAATGAGCATGCGACACTCAAGTAAATGACTGGTACATGAATGAATCGAAGTCACGTCCAAATGAGAGTGATAAAAAAGGTTTAAAAGAATTGATAGTCGTGTACGGGTAATAACAATTTTAAAAGGGAGAGGGGACCCACTACGTGCTTAGAAGTGGACTTTAATGATGAAAGGTAATATTTTTATGAAATTAGTTAGAAAAAAAAATTGTTTAATTTTGAGACAACGAGGTTAATAATTGAAACCAAATAAAAATAAGGAAATAAAATATTCAATACGACAATTATTGAAGGGAATAACAACATAGTTGGCTTGAATTTATTACTACTAATAATCATATTAATATTTATAATCTACAAGAAGGTGACACCTTATTATAATAAGTAATTATATATGTAAAATATTAACGACATTTGAGATGTATTCTTTCTATAAAGGTTGAAGGTTCGAATTTTTCATACCTCACTAATTTTATTCGAAAAAATTTATATGTAGAACATGTTTTATGGTTCCGGTATAAGTTTAGTTTAACTAGAGATGTCTATTTAATTCGCAAGACTGAATTTCGATGGAGGATAAGGAGTTTGTGTTTAAATTAGAAATGAGAATGAGAATACAGGGAGGGAACCATGTTTAAACGAGAAATAAGAAATAAGGAGAGATTTCTTTCTCGTTAGCTAAATGGGGCTGGAGTCGGGAATTCTCCGCCCCTCTCCCTTTAATATATATGTATAATGGAGTTTTTTTTTTCTTCGTGAAACTATCATTTATAAATTTTAGCTCTACGTTCTTCGTAGTTCATAGATTATGACTTACTTCATAAGTTTAAGACTGCTACTTCTTTCTTTATAGTCGATTGATATTCTCACGGTGATAATGTTAAAATATCATCACTAGTCCAACAGAGTCAAACCCAATAATTGTATTAGCTCATTCTATATTTATTTTAGCAAAATGATTTAGGTATTTTAGAATAAACGAGATATTTTAGGAAAAAGATTCAGATGTAGATGGTGTAGGCTCTAATATAAATATCCCTCCACCATACCTAGGTTTTCATCGCAAGAAATACAAAGTACAGAGTGCAGTAGTTTTCTACCGAGTGTCTTGTAATCTTTTCTCGATTGGTGTTAATAAAGAGTGCGAGTGTTTCCCACAGAGAGTTGTGTTCAACCGATAATACTCTATTTACTCTTTAAGTTTATTTAAATGTAGCGGTCTTACTTTTGGTTCAATTAGTTCCACTTATTTGAGGTTATATTTCTATCTTAAATAATCTAGTTCAACCAAACTTATTTAACTCATCGAGCTTCTTTTGAGTCATATACATGTCTAGGTGAGGTGCAACCCTATAATCGTTTCATATTTAAACTTTATACCAGTAATCTCAATCATAGAGAAGTCGCCCCATCTGATGTAATTCATAGCATTAATTTTGGTCCAAACCAATCCAATTAGACCGGTCCACCATTTCGTACTGAACCGTTCAAACTAATTCAACTTAACTAGTCGAGAATTGGATGATGGGGAAGGACGTAATTAGTTAATTAAACACAATTAGTGTGTGAAGAGGAAATTAAAGATTGCTTGAATGGAAAGACAAGGGTTTGATTTAACTGCCTTTGTTTTATGTCTGTCTCCTTTGTACTTGCTTTGCAGCTACGTAACATTCTGTTGGCTGGAATCAGATTCATTGCCCACAAACATATATTTACAATTATATATATCATTTTCTCAATCTAAACCCTACATATCTAACCATGGTTTAATATGTAACTAAGTCTATAGTAGTTTTTGACGTTTGCGTTAACACTGCATAACAACTCACACTCTCTCTCACATAGTTTTTCTGTAACGACCTTAGATTTCTATTTACCTAGAGTCATCACCGTCATCATAGCATAATCATTTCTATGTTGAAATAAGCGTCTATAAACTTCATCTTGAAACACTGTCCTGAGCTTATGTGTTTGAAAATATCTTTAAAACGACACAATAAAAAACTAAATAAAATAAATAAATATTTAAATTAAAAACAAAATGTTCCTATACACTAGTGGTCTGTGGTTCAATTGACCTCTCCATGGTTCAATGGGATTATGTAAAATTTCAAAGCGGTTGGAATATGTTAGGGATGTAAACCTAGATTTGAGGGTAGTAAACATACAGTGATATATTAAACGTCAAGAATTGATCAAGATAGTGACTTAAAACAAAACATGCATTCATGTAGAAACAAAGGTTCCCTCAAGCATACGAATCAAGAAGGGCAAGGGTTAAAGGTTTTCTCTCCGTTCGACATGGTTGTGTGAGTTAGAGTGATATCGTTGGGCTCACTAATGCCCCATAGCATAAGTAATTCCCATGAATCCGATATTTAAAAAGATTTCTAAACCTGTTTTATAATAGTGCTCATATTGATTATAGGTGGCTAATCAGAGACCAAAAGAACAATCATCGATTCTAGTGCTATGTTGAGTCAATAATCATCGAGAATGGCACCACTAAGCGAGATCGAGACCAACACCTTGCCCTTGAATTTCAAACCGGTTAATGCAAGAACTATAAATAAAAGATCAGGATCTCCTATGAAATTTAAAATATTAATTCATACATAGTATAGTCCTAGCGAACCCACTTAAAATCTTTACTAAACTATGACTAGCCATTATATTAGCAAATAAATGTATTCTTGAACTTAATGCACGAGATTAGTTTTGTTCCTTAGCATCAAATGAAAAGAAAACAAATGAACGAATCAAACTTTGTTTAGTTTAAAAAGCATCCCCCATCATTCTCATTCGATCTTGCCTGTCGAAGGAAGAGAAGAAACAGCTAGGAAGAGGCCCCTAACGTGGCCGAGAAGGAGAAGGGCTAAAATACAAAGGCATGACGGATTTCATATTTTTCCTTGAGGTGTTTTGAGCATTTTTCCCTTCTATTCCAGTTTGAAAATCACGCTCTAAAATCTCCAATAAAATCTAAGAACCAATAAAATTTAAGAGGAAGCTTATTATATAGAAGTGAGTTTATACCTGCTGGGCTCGGGGTGTTACACTTTCTTTTCCTTTCCTTATTTGATTTCATCTCTATTATCATTTTTTTCTTCTAATCTACGTCAAATCTCAAAGAAATATTTCTACCTTTGGTGCAAAATGACCGGACCTTATTTATGATAAATAATTATGTAAATATCCAGTGCAATTATTCTGGTTGTTGTCTTCTTCTAGTTGTTGTTGTTTCGAAATATCGGTGTGAATTCATAAATTGTTGAACATTCCTCTCTCTCTCTCTCGGATACTTCAGACTGTCATTGACATTGAATTCTACTTGTTGATCATTCATTATAGTTTCCTCCTGGACATCTACCAATGTTCTTCCAGTTCTCCCTTAGATAATTGGTACATCATAGTCGGCTTCGTAATCTAAAATGATAAAATCAGCTAGAAATATGAATTTCTCTCCTTAAATTAAGATATTTTTTATTTTGCTCTCTGGATGAGTGAAAGATCGATTTGCTAGTTGAAGGGGGATTGTAGTTGGTCTAGCTTCACTAATGCGTAACTTTTTGTAAATAGATAGCGACATTATATTAATGTTTGATCTCAAATCACATAATGCTCGACCTAGCTTTTTCACTTTAAGTGATACTGTAATTGTGAATGAACGAGGATCTTTCTCCATTAGTGGGATCTTGTTTTTCAATATTGCACTCTTCATTCAACGCTACCACCTTAAATTCTTCAAATTTTGTTCGATTGGTGAGATTATCCTTCAAGAATTTGACATAATTGAACATTTGTTTTAAGGTTTTCACGAGTGGTATGTTTATATAAATTTCATTAAAAATATCCGTGAACTTCTCAAAATGGGCGTTCTCCTTCCTTTTTATTCTCTGCGGGAAATGAGGGTCGGGGTATACATTCTGCTCACTTCTCCACCGTTGTCTGGTACTTGTGTTTTCAGGGATGGTTCTGCTTCAGCATAATTTTTACTCTTCTACTTCCGTTAACCATTTTTATTCTCTCTATTGTATATCATCCGTCTCTTTTGTTGTTTTCTTTAATTTCACATCTTTTGTTGGATATTTCTTTCCCACTTCTCAATTTTATTGCCCTCTCGCCCACTCATTTTGGTATTTCGATGTCTGACACCTTTCCAAGAGGTTTATTTCTTAACTCGATAGTTAATTAGCCCAATTAAACTTCTAAATTTCGTAAATATGTTTGTTGATTCTGTATTATAGCATCGTTCTTAGCCATATATTCCTTTGTTAAACTCTCCATAAACGTCTCTGGTCTGTAGCTTGACTAGTTCCTTTTCCTTAGGTATTGGCTCGTTGAGAATCATCCAGACCTAGAAAGGTAAGTTTAAGCTACATTACTCAGACATTGATCAAAAGTGTATTCCTCTCTACCGTACATACAAAATTTAGATCTTGATTGAGTCATTACAGCTGCAACTTAGATGGGTGCTTTAGAAAATTTCAATTTAGTTCTCGATATATATATATATATATATATATATATATATATATATATATTTATTGCAACTTGCCCCCTGTAATTTTAAAATTTTACAAATCAATCCTTACTATTTATATTAAAAAAAAATTACAATTAATTACTGTTATACCGTATTTCTAAACAAATCCAGCTGGCAAGTAATACGTGGCAACAACAAGGATAATTATGAACATGGTGGGTCCCAATTTGGAAACAAAAACAATTACGTTAAAAATATATATATAATAAATAAAGAGTTGCATGTGAGTGCACGCAACAGAAATGTGTCATCCATGTGAATAAAAATAAAAATAAAAATAAATTTTTTTTTTTTTTCTTTTATCTTTACGTAAACATTCACCTAATTATTTCTCCTTTATTTATCTCTTCTTGCTTTACACCCAAGCCATATTAAAACTAATTTTGTCACGTCAATTAATCATATTGCACAAATTTAACGTGAATAAACATTTACGTTAAACGTGTTCATATGACTCAAAAACTCAATCAACTCGGACTATCTAATCCAAGATATAAAAGTTTGATTGAGTTAGATTTTTTTTTTTTTTTTTCTGGTTGGAGTTGGATTTTTAGAAAATCGAAAAATTTTCGCAGGGTTGATATATATTTTTTTTGTTGGGTCAACCCGACTAATCCGAAAATAGGGTTACAATACCAATCCAATTAACTCTACCCAACTCGGCAATAGACGCTTTTGTTGAGTTGGATTGAGTTGGGTTTTAAACGTGTTCAAGTCACCAATCCAAGCTAAAAAGTTTGATTAAGTTGGATTTTTTTTTTTTTCCTGGTTGAGTTGAATTTTTAGAAAATCAAACCATTTTCACTGGTTGATATATATTTTTTTTTTTGTTGGATTAATCCGACTAATCCGAAAACAGGGTTACAATACCAATCCAATTAACTCGACCCAACTCGACAATAGACATTTTTGTTGGGTTGGATTGAGTTGGATTTTAAACGTGTTCAAGCCACCAATATAACTAATCCAAAATTTCGATTGGTCCGAAAAATGTGGTACAAAGATGCTAAAGAATGTTACTTTATAAAAAATAATTAAGAATTTTAACATTATAAAACTTCAATGAAAATATTTATTTTATTTTATTTTTTAAAAATATAGAGACAAGAAAAAGTGGATGGTAACCATGTTTGTTCTTATTTCTTTTTATTTAAATTTAAAAAAAAACATATTTAATAGCCATTCTTTTATTTGATGCTGTTTGTTTCTTTTAAACAACCACCACAATTATTCTTTTTATTATTATTATTATTATTATTAAAAATTAAGGATAATTAATAAAAATGTAATTAAAAAAATATTTTTAAATATGTACTTTCGTCGTTTAATTAGTGATATTATCTTATTGAGAGGTCATTTAGAACGGGACAACGAACATGGATGACTTTTTTGAACGAGTGCTTGTTATATAAAATGGTCGTTATTCTCGTAAATGAAAAAAATAAAAGTTTGTGTACTAATTCTCATCTGTTTGAATAATAATTATTCTAGTAATATCTTTTAAATAAAATGTATGGAACGAGAACAAAGATCATGAACGAGTTTCTTTCGTAATGAAGTCTTCTTCGTTAGTACGAGTCGGGTTAAATTGACTTCCAAGTCAAAGCATTTGGGCCTGTTGAACATGGGCTTACAATTCTTTGGCCCATTCCAATGATAAGGGTGGTTTGGTTTGCATCTTTATTTTATTTTGTACCCTATGTTCTCTCAAATCTTTTGAAATCCTTTTCAAATTAAAATAAATAACAATGTGAAGAGGCTTTTCTTCTTATGTTTAATGATACAATCATACTAAGAATACAAGAATACGTGCCGAAAAACAAGGTGGCGACATGAAAATGGCGCTTCTGGTCACAAGAGGTTCAAGGTAAATAAGTGTCGTGATGTGATCAAGAAGGACGATGGATCATCCAACATAACAAGAATAATGTGCATTAAAGTTGAGTTGGGGCATAGACATGATTGGACGGATCGATAACGACAAGAGTGTAAGAGACAAGCTCAAAGAGGGTCAGGATAAAACTCGGAGCCACAACCTCAAAAGTCGAGGTTCCCGCATGTGATGTTGGAGTTAACTCTATCTATATGAAAGATGAAAGCTCGCCAAATTTGGGGTCAATTGGACACCTCATGAACGCTCCACGAAGTCGTATAACCATTCACCAAAATCACGTCTACTTCAACCAAACAAAAAATGGCTCAAAATGAAGGGGGAGACATGGTGTCAACTCTCTATGTCACCTTGCCCCTGTGACCTTAAGTGAGCTACATCATGATATGTATGTGTGTCATGGTGTAGGCAAGTATTGCAAGCCGAGTGTGTTCCTTTAGAATAGGTTTTTCGAGGACTGTATTGGACGACACGGGTTTGCTGATATTGCACCCTTGCCCTTGAGTTGAAGGTTAGTATATGGAGTTGCTCTTTGGTACATAACCTCGAAATGACTCAACATGGACATAAGAGAGTTCATGTCTCGATAATACCTAGATGGATGGATGTCCAAAGTATCCCAATAATAAAGTTGACTCGTGGGTTATTCTCGACAAGTGTGTTCGAGCGAGCAACAAATGCTGATGACATCCTAGGACTTAAGATACCATCATGAAGCATGGATCATATTTCGAGAAATCAAAACAACAAGATGAGATGCGACATTACATTTGAAAGACCTTGGTCTAGCGTAGATGTAAAGTCAAATCTGAAGACTTGGGTTAGATTAGAGGCAAGTCAGTTGAAGTTGCTACGAGTGAATATGCACACACGAACAACGTGTGCAACCAAACAAGCTTAGTTTCTACATGAGTTGTATTCGATCAGAAAAGGAGAACCCCGACAAGCAAAAAATAAAAATGAAGCTTGAGTTGCCCTTCAAGCTTGTCATGAGCGTGTCAAGACCAGGACACCACAATAAAAAATGCACGACTATAATACTTAGCTGACATGTAAACTACTCTTTTTCGTTCATTTTTTTTACAACTCCGTTAAGTTCCACGACAAATACCTTACCGTCAAGAACAACTTAAAGATAATCGAAGCGAATGAAATCGTTCGCATGTCCACATTTTATGCATTCATTAACATTAAAGAAGTAAGAAGAATGAACAAGACATTAGAATTGTATGGCCACAAATGCAATGAAGCCAACATCAACTAGAAGTGGTAAATTTTGAAGTTATTCATTCATTCATTCCTTCCTCCATTCTCAGCAGCAGCATACAAAGCTTTGATCTCTTCAACATCATCATAGCTACCAAGAAATATGGGAGATCTCTCATGTATCTTCTTTGGAACCAAATCAAGTGCCTGCAAATCATAGAGCATTTATCTTAATTGATTGAATTCAAATGCGAGGTTCTTTACGTCTCGTTACAATGACGGTACACTACCCTTATTTTTCCGGTGAACGCTTGACCTCCTGCCTCCTCTATCAAGAACGCCATCGGAAAAACCTCGTACAACACACTGGCATCGAGACAAAAAAAGATATCGTTCCATAATGATATACTATGACTGTTACGATCTTATTAACCATTCGATGTATAAACATCCACATTGTGACGGTCTCCTCGAATAATTTCTCAAAAAGGGGATCGGGAGAACGTACCGCAATTTGCCATTGGGGCTCTTCTTGTCACCAGGGTACAAAAATATACCACCATAAAGCAATGTACGATGGACATCAGCTACCATGCTGTTAATCAAAGTCTTATACCATTAGAACTTCCAAGCTACATTATCCTACCCTTAACATTTCTAGCTCGAACCTACCACTAGCAGATATTGTCCTCTTTGGATTTTCCCTTTTAGGCTTTCTCTTAAGGTTTTTAAAACGCGTCTACGAAGGAGAGGTTTCCACACCCTTGTAAGGAGTGTTCGTTTTCCTTTCCAACCGATGTGAGATTTCACAATCCACCCCTCTTGGGAGCCGAGCGTCCTTGTTAGCACACCGTCCGGTGTCTAGCTCTGATACCATTTGTAATAGTCTATGCCCACCACTAGCAGATATTGTCTTTTTGGGCTTTCCCTTTCGGGCTTCCCCTCAAGGTTTTTAAAACGTGTTACCTAAGGAGAGGTTTCCACACTTTTGTAAGGAGTGTTTTGTTCTCCTCGTCAACCGAGGTGAGATTTCACACCCACGTTTTCAAAATCATTTAAAACAATTTGATGAACTCAAGAAACGTTTCAAACATTTTAAGGTTACCTTCCAACATATCTCAAAGACTTGGGGGACGATCCGTCTGTAGGAAACTTGCACTTCTCTACATACCTAAAAGAGAAAAGGAGTTAGAAGTTCATTTTACTTATAACTCAAACTCGAACCGAATTCAAAACGACGCAATGTACTTTGCGGTCGGACCGTCCCAGTTCTTCGCGTTTCCTTCATTCACTGAATATATTTTTCCTTTCTTTGGAATCTGGTAACAGAAGAAATGAATCAAATACAGGACAATCAAAAGCAAAACATCAACAAGCCCACCGCTAGCAGATACCCCTCAAAGTTTTTAAAACGTGTCTGTTAGGGAGAGGTTTCCACACCCTTATAAAGAATGCTTCGTTCTCCTCTCCCACCGCCCACCGATGTTGGATCTCACAGTAACATTATTTACAAATTAGAGGCGCTGTTCTAAGTTTTAGCCTCTCAAAGGGAAGAGAGGAGGAGGAGAAGAGAGGAGAAATATAAGCAAGAAATTCTTCACCTTAAGGTCCGGGTGAGTTAAGATGAACTCTCCAAGAGAAGGGTCAAGAGTGAATCCATTAACACCAGTTCCAGTACTTAAAACAAGCTGCAAAAACAAAAGAGCATTAGCATTTAATCAGTTTAAGACTTGATTTACAATTAAGAAAAGAAAATATAGTTCTACATGACTCGAGGACTTCTATTGATAATAACCAGAACGAGTGCGAGCGAGGACGCTAGGCCCTGAAGGGGGTGGATTATGAGATCCCATATCGGTTGGAGAGGAAAACGAAACACTCTTTATAAGGGTGTGGAAACCTCTCCCTAGAAGACACGTTTTAAAACCCTGAGGGTAAGCCCAGAAGGGAAAGCTCAAAGAGAACAATATCTTGGTGGACTTGGGCTGTTACAAATAATATCAGAGCTAGACACTAGACAGTGTGTCAACGAGGACGCTGGGTCCTAAAAGGGGTTGGATTGTTAGATCCCACATTGATTGGAGAGAGGAACGAGTGCAACGAGGACGCTTGACCTTAAAGGGTGTGTATTGTAAGATCCCACTTCGGTTGGGAAGGAGAACGAAACATTCTTTATAAGGGTATGGAAACATCTCCGTAGCATACGCATTTTAAAACCTTGAGGGGAAGCCGAGAAGAGAAAGTCTAAAGAGGACAATATCTGCTAGCAACTTGAACTGTTACAGACGGTATCAGAGCTAGACACCGGTTAGTGTGCCAGCGAGGACGTTGGGCCCTGAAGGGGGATGGATTGTGAGATCCCACAACAATTGGAGAGAGCAACGAGCACCAACAAGGACGCTAGACCCTGTAGGGGTGAGATTCTAAGATCCCACATCGGTTGGCGAAGAACGAAACAATCTTTATAAGGGCGTGGAAAACTCTCCCTAGCAGACACGTTTTAAAACCTCGAGAGAAAAACCTAAAGAGAACAATATCTACTAGCGGTGAGCTTGGACGGTTACAAACCAGCACAATGCGATAGAGTGAGATTGTCCATACCGTGCAAGAGCTGCCATACAAGCAATAGCCTGCTGCAACCATATTCTTTCCAGGTTGCAAGACATCTTCTAGGTTAGGTTCATGGCTGTCGTTCAACTGATAGATTCCAAAAATCTACACGAAAAAAACTAGACATTCAAATGGACAGATACTCAAACAAAAACATTTGATATCTCATACATAAGAACAAAAATGGATATTACCGTTCCAATAGAAACCCCACAATCAATGTTGGAGGATCCATCCAATGGATCAAACACCACAGAATACCTTTACCATTGAAAAACAACACCAAACAACATTAAAAATCGAAACTGACAATCATAGTAAGCTGACAGAGTTCATCAAGAATCGAAAACAAACCTTCCACGCCGAGATGGCTCGACGTATGTCGGTTCTTCATCTTCTTCAGAAACAAGGATACACTGCCACCAAATTGTGAGCTGTTAAGGTAAATCACCACAAACTTGTCCTGTCATTTGTAGAATTAGATAGCAGCTTACAGTTCTACCACTGCTGACCAAAGCCTTGATAAAGACTTCATTTGAGAGCACATCCAATTTCTTTTGTTCTTCACCCTATTATCAAAGAAAATGACTGAATGTACAGACATAATTCAGACAAATGGATTATCTAAGAATACCATCTTACCTGAACATTGGTCTCTCCAGCAAGTCCAATAAGTTTGGCTAAACCTGCCTGCAGAAGGACAACTTTTATGGGTAAAGAACTGTATTTTTCATATTGAATGGTTCATAAAGCAAATATAGAACAGTTTGAACTTTTCAGGGAAAAGGGTACTTTTTGGAATTTTGAATTGAGAGGTGTAGAACATAATTTTGACAACCTTTGAACAAAACATGTCTTACTCTTTGTCATGTTGTAATAGCAAAAAGAAAAAGTTGGGACCTTATCCTTTTGCTCTCTCTCTCTCTCTCCTCCTAGCTACACACCCTCACCCTTTATTTCTTCTTTCTTCCTTTTGAGCTGTGCTCGAATTAGCACCTATTTCTTTCACTTACATCTCAATATATCTTAGAAAAATTTCTAGTACTACTGTGAGATCCGATATCGGTCGGGGAGGAGAATGAAACATTCTTTGTAAGGGTGTGGAAATCTCTTCCTAGCAGACGTGTTTTAGAAACCCTGAGGGAAAGCCTAAAAAGGACAATATCTGCTAGCAGTGGGATTGGGCTGTTACAAATGAAATCAGAGCTAGATACCGCGATGTGCTAGCGAGGAGGCTGAGCTTCGAAGAGGGTGGACACGAGGCGGTGTGCTAGCAAGGACGCTGGGCCTCGAAGGAGTGGATTGGGGGGTCCCACATCAATTGGAGAAAGGAACGAGTGTCCGTGAAGATGCTGGGCCACGAAGGGGGTGGATTGTAAGATCCTACATCGGTTGGGGAGGAGAATGAAACGTTATTTGTAAGGGTGTGGAAACCTCTCCCTAGCAAGCGCATTTTAAAAACCTTAAGAGGAAGCCTAAAGAGGACAATATATGCTAGCAGTGGGACTGGACAGGTACAAATGGTATCAGAGCCAAACAACGAGCAATGTGCCAATGAGAAGGCTGAGCTCCAAAGGGGAGTGGACACGAGGTGGTGTGCTAGCAAGAACGCTGGTGGATTGGGAGGTCCCACATCAATTGGAGAAGGGAACGAGTGCCAGTGAGGACACTGGACCACAAAGCTCACTGGACCACGAAGGGGGGTGGATTGTGAGATCCCACATCGGTTGGGAAGGAGAACGAAACATTCTTTATAAGGATGCGGAAACCTCTCCCTAGTAGACGCGTTTTAAAAACCTTGAAGGAAAGGCCGACAAGAAAAGCCTAAAGAGGACAATATCTGTCAGAGGTGGGCTTAGGCTATTACAAATGGTAACAGAGTCAGATACCAAGCGATGTAACAGCAAGGAGACTAAGCCCCGAAGGAGGGTGGACACGAGGCGGCATACCAACAAGGATGCTAGTGGATTGGGAGGTCCCACATCGTTTGGAAAAGGGGAACAAACGAGTTGATTGTGAGATCCTCTCTCCCTAGCAGACATGTTAAAGGCCAGTAACATAATATTCTTCCTTATATATATATATATATAAAGAGCAGGATTGTAATGATCATACTGCAAAACAAGAACATATATGATATATCCCCCAAATCCCTAAACAAAAAAGCAATGAACAGCAAACAAAAACAATATCCAAAACAAGCAAAAACAGAGCAAAACAGAAGAGGGGTGAAGAACAACCTTATTAACAGCAGAACAGACGAACTTGCAGCCAAGAACAATATGGCTAAGCAAAATCGTGAAATCCCCACGCGATTCAGAGTACTTGGATTGCTCATTCAAGACGAACCTAGTAATGGTCATCAAGTCCGTCCTCTGAGCATCTGCCGCATGATCCATGGCAATCCAAAGAAGAACAAGAAGAAGGAATATGGATGAGGTGCTAAATTCGAGGGATGTGATGAAGCCGCAATGTGTATATATATATACACACATACAGAAACACCATTTGTTAGGGGGGACACGTGGCGGAGGAAGAAAAAGGGTAGAAATGGAGTGGTGGCTGATTGCTTTTGAGTTTGAGACAGAGAAAGGGAATGGACACAAATTTTGCAGATAATGAAGTTCGTCGTCTTCTTCAACCTCCCTCTGCCTCCTCTCCTTTTTTTTTTTTTCCTTTTCCACGTCGGATTCATATAAATAATTGTTGTTTTTAATAAAAATTATAATGGATCGATTATCTTTCCCTAAATTAACTACCGTGGGACACTTTCATCTAACACCTCCCCTTAATCGAAGGACGACTCCTTTTTCTTTTTGGAGTTCTTTGTTCCTTAATCGAGGCTCGACTCCTTTGGAGTCTTAGTCATCTTTTAATGCCTTCGAGGAGGCTCGATTCCTTTTTCTTTTTGGTGTACTTTGTTCCTTAATCGAGACTCGACTCCTTTGGAGTCTCGAGGAGGCTTGACTCCTTTTTCTTTTTGGAGTACTTCGTTCCTTAATCGAGACTTGACTCCTTTGAAGTCTTAATCATTTTTTTCGAGGAGGCTTGACTCCTTTTTCTTTTTCAAGTCCTTTGTTCTACATTCGAGGATTTCCCAATCTATTGGCACGACTAAGTTTAGAGCATGACTCTGATACCATGATAGACGAACACGACTCTCCACAATGGTACGATATTGTCCACTTTGAGCATAAGCTCTCGTGGCTTTGCTTTGGACTTACCCAAAAGGTCGGAAGCAAATGGACTATTTCCTAAATTAACCACAGACACTTTCAACCAATATTATAATAAAATATTTATTTATCTATTTTAAATAAAATTATTATCAAATTTTTAAAAATGATAATTGATATCTTATTTGACATTTTGGTTTAGACGATGCATTAATTAATTAATTTATTTATTTTATTTAATATCATTAATTAGCGTTTGACGTATTTGTTGATTTGAAATGAATTAATTTTTTGGGTTTTGAAATTAGTGTCATAATTGAAAGAAATTATTTTTTAGGCCTATGGATGTTTGAAAAACCAAGATGACCGTTAATTTCAAGCATTGAAAAAAATATTCTTTGATTAATAATGTTTACACATTTTTCTTCATATTTTAATAAATTAAAAGGTTGAATATTTCTTGAAATAAAATAAAAAAATAAGTAAATGGTAATTTCTCAATTTAATAGTTTTCTTTTTTTTTTTTTCATCTATGAAAAAAAATTAATTTCTCTATGTGATTGGGTTGGAGAAATCTTTTGAATTAACTTGAAATTTTGAGTTGGGCTTGAAGATAACTCGAGCACTTGTCACAATTGTACTTTTGATGGCAACGGACTTGCGATTGTGTGGCACTCACCTCCCAACAAGAAGTGAGTTAAGTCAATTCATTCTTGCGTCGCCTACGGCCAAGCGACGTATGCTCGAGCTTCTAGCTTCGATTGAAGAAGAAAGTTTTAGAAAACGGGCGCAAAGAGAGTTTTAAAAGCAAGATTTGAGAGATTGAATTAAAATATTTAACCGGTTCGTCAATTTTTCACTCTAGACTTAATTTTTATATTTAACAGAAAATAGAAAACTTAAATATTTATTAGACACAAAATTGATTATTAAAAATTATTATATACTTATTTTAAGTTGAGAGATCAAATCCACACGGATGGAAAAAAAAAAATTCAAAAATTTATTTTAAAGTTTAGAGGTAGACATAATTCTCACCAACGGTTTTCAAGCACTAAACTGATTATTTAATAAAAGATACATGCATATAAGTCTTTCATCTCGAACTTTAGCCACCTCATCACCAAGAGTGATCTCATAGTTTTTGGTCTGTGAAGATACGTTGTTAGATGCTTCGTTTTATTTTTCGATTAAGACTGAACTGAAACATGTGCTCGAGAGACCGCTAATGTGAATTAATAATTCAATCAATGGGCCACACTGGATAAGAAGTGTATGGGTTAGAATTAAGATGGTTTAATTATACTTATCATTAGGAAATGTTAAATTAAAAGAAATAATTTTTAAGCTTAAATTCCAATTTGTTACTGTTCTACCAACCATGTATGGTGGATATTGATCTTATCTTCAATGTGAAGTTCAAAGGTTATAGGATTAATCTAAAGCATACATTTTTTCTTTTTAATTTATCTCAATTTTAGATAAGATTATATTTTCTAAACATGGTTGAAAGATCTGTAATAGCCCACACCCACCACTAGCACATATGGTCCATTTTGGCCCGTTACGTATCGTTGTCAGCCTCATGGTATTAAAACGCGTCTACTAGGGAGAGGTTTCTACACCCTAATAAGGAATGTTTCGTTCTGCTCTCTAACCGATGTGGTATCTCACAATCTACCTGTCTCGGAGGCTAGCATCCTTGCTGATACACCGCTTGGTGTCTGGCTCTGATATCATTTGTAACATCTCAAGCCCACCACTAATAGATATTGTCCACTTTGGCTCGTTACGTATCGTCATTAGCCTCATGGTTTTAAAATGTGTCTGGTAGGGAGAGGTTTCTACACCATGATAAGGAATGTTTCGTTCTCCTCTCTAACCGATGTGGGATCTCACAATCTACCCCTCTTAGGGGTCCAGCGTCCTTTCTGACACACCCCCCCGGTGTCTGGCTCTGATACCATTTGTAACATCCTAAGCCCACCACTAATAGATATTGTCTACTTTGACTTGTTACGTATTGTCATTAGCCTCATGGTTTTAAAACGTGTCTAGTAGGGAGAGGTTTTCACACCTTATAAAGAATGTTTAGTTCCCTCTCTAATCGACGAGGGACCTCACAACTACTCTTTATCAAACTTTCCCATTTAAGAATAAGGTCAGTTTGGGTTGCTAGGGACGGCTGAATAGAGGTTAGCTTTGTAAATGTGTAGAGTCAAGTGTAGTGTGGTGTAGTAGTAGGCATTTTTAAGCCCGTTTCGACTACAAGATCACTCGAGCGCTTTGGATATTACGATGGATCCGCACTCTAGTGCTTTAGGTATTACAAACCCTCAAACATTATGTTTAGTCATATTTTAATAATTATATTTTAAAATTAAAAATATATTTTGAAAATTATATGTTTGTATGGAGGATAGAGTTGTTGATGCTTATGCTATCCAAATTGGTTGAAGGGGAAGATCCCAAGATATTACATATTTTTGTGGGATGAAATTTGTATTTTAATGAACAATCTTTCTTGAACGGTCACTTTCCTTGGGATTGGTTTTCACTTCTCATCCTCAACAATAACGTCAACAATAACGCGTTGTCCCATTGTTCTTTTGGAGGATCCTCTCAAGTGGATCGGATTGAGATATTTTTGTAGCAGTCCAGGCCCACCGCTAATAGATATTGTCCTCTTTGAGCTTCCCTCAGAGCTTTAAAACGCGCGTCTGCTAGGGAAAGGTTTCCACTAAGGGTGTTTCGTTCTCCTCCTCAACTAATGTGGGATTCTCATGGCTTTCCCTTTCAAGCTTTCCCTCAAGACTTTAAAATGTGTCTGCGGGAAAGGTTTCCACACCCTTATAAAGGGTGTTTCGTTCACCTCCTCAACCAATGTGGGATTCTCACCATCCACCCCTTTAGGGTCCAGCATCCACGCTGGCACTAGTTTCTTTCTCTAATCGATATGGGACCCCCACCTCAGCATCCTCGCTGGAACTCGTTCCTTTCTCCAATCAATGTGAAACCCCACCAAATCCACCCTTTCGAGACCAAGCATCCTCGATGGCAGAATGGTTTCCACACTCTTACAAAGGTGTTTGGTTCTCCTCCCCAACCAACTTAGAATTCTCACCATTCTATTTAATCTAAAAGATAAATTATTCTAGGTAAATATTTGGGTTTATTGTTTTTTTTTTTTTTGTTTTTTTTAATGTCTTATTAGAAATATGAAGATGATGTTACAAATGTACGAAAATAGGAATATTTTAAAGATGGAGTCCAAAGAAGCACTTATTTTGTCTCACTAGAACGAACCAAAACTTGAGGTCCCAAGAAATGTGGGGGAAAAAAAGATAAACTTAGAAAGAGGAACTAAGATGTGAAATATCATGGATTATTGCACTTTGTCTGAAAAAGAACTTCAATCTTCCATTGGACATTTATTCTCATCCTTATCTATTTGATTCTCAACGTATTTCTATTGTTCTTTTACTTTGATACATGACATCATTATGCTCCCTCTTTGTCTCTTGATCCTATCGAAAGCTTTTATCTTATTAGCAGAGATGTTTTCTATTTATAATCGAATAAATTAGAAGGATATGGAGAGAGTAATAAATGAAACAACAATAAATGGGAAGATACATATAGTAAGAAGATATTTGACTTATAATAAAATATCAAATATGATATATATGGTAAACTATAATTTAGTACTAAATATCCTTAACATCCCCTGCAAGCTAAGCGTCGGATTTGAACGAACGTAAAGTTTGAATCTGAAAAATTCAAAGAGAGGTCGAGAAACACTTTTCTTGAACGAACATGAAGTTTGAATCTGAAAAATTCAAAGAGAGATCGAGAAACACTTTTCATGAAGATGTCAACAGCCTGGTTTAGAAGAGACATAGAGAAACACTTTCTTGTCCATCGAAAACTGTAGAGGGATCGTCGCTCAGCAGCGATGCTGCCTTGGCTTCGGCAAGAATATGTCTAACCCATGAAGAGGGATGGTTGCTCAGCGACGATACTGCCTTGGTTCCAGCAAGAATATGTCTAACCCAAGAAGTAGAAGGGGGAAACCTAGAGTAAGTGACAAATACAATGTTGAAGTCGGAAGAGTTGCCACATTGGGCAAAGGAGCCAATCTTGGCGAGAAGGGCGGCGGCGACTTGGTTGGCGAAGAGGCTAGTGCGGCACCAAGATTCCAAAGGTAAATCTCTACATAAGGTCCATGGACTTATTGAGATTTCGTATATTTTCGAAAAGAACGCTGATGAGGATCCTGAGATTAGGGTTTCTATGAAGGATGAAAGGTTGATTGGGAAGAAAATGAGAGAGGCTATGTTGGCTAAGGGGAAACCAACTGTGTTGGAGAAGGTGAGGTTGTATGTACAAAATATGGCGAAGGGTGATTTGAGGGTCAATAGGGTGG